TTCAGGATAGTTGATCAAATAATTACTTCTTTGTTATTGCGTAAACCAGACGTGAGTGTTTATAATTTAAATCCCATTTTATATTTTAACAATTTAACACTAAGTGTCATTACACAAGAAAATATTCTGAATATGAAAAAACTAAAGGAAATATTAGGAAACCTAATAAAGTAACAGTTCAGTTGCCTAGTTTTTGGTTTTTTTCCCAAAAGACAGGGCTCAGGGAAATTTTGCACACAAGTTATATTGTTAGTAAAAATTTTGTTCTTCTTTATGCACTGTGTCACTTCAGGATATGCCTATTTCTTTATTATTCCTTGTCCTTATTCTGCCATCCATGTACAAAAGCTCATTAGATGTGTTACTGTTTTTCTCTGTTCCTCTTACTTTCAATATATCCTGTGAATGTCAAATTCTCAAAGCCCTCTTTTTGCATTATGTGATGCAGAAATTTCAACTCACTTTCTCATTCTAAATACAAATGTCTTTCATGATCCCATTTTCATTAAAATTTCCTTATTGGTCACATGCTCTGTCCATGGTATTCTCAGCATTCTTCTGTAGAATTTGTCAGCAGTTTGCCCTGTTTTTAAGAATGCTGGTGAGTGTTCATCCCCATTGCAATATCTCTTCATCAGCAAACTTTGAGTCTTATCAAGAAAAAGGTAGCTAATTACCTCACCAGAAACCTCCTGAGCAACACAGGTTGGGTTTTGATCTTCTAAGTCCACTACAATTACCAACAGGATCAGTGAAACATGTGATAGCAGCTTCATCATCAAAGCAAATGGCTTAGATATCTCAAAGGCTTTTAACAAAGGATGATATAGAAGGGTTTTTTTTTTTAATCCTTTCATCCCAAGCAAGGTAATAAAGTCACTAATATGCAAGAGGTTACTGAGTGTGAAAGAATATGAAAAAAATTATTAAGGTGCGAGAACGATAAAAGAACAGTAATTAAGAGGAGAGAAAATAACGATTAACATTGCATTTAAATTTTTGATGACCAAAGTTGAATGGGAAGCAAGAAGCCGGAAAGTACAAAATTTCTGTATAAACTCTCCAGATGTATCGTCTCTGGAAGAGTTTACACAATCAACAGTTTTCTCTCAGGTAAGTCCTTGAAGGCCATTATGAAAGGCCAGAATAGTCCATGAAATCAATGCAGGCATCCCCCAAGCTTTCCTCGGTTCTACTTGCTTTCTGATTTTTATGAAAAGTCTGCCTATGGACATTTTCAATTTACATTGGTAAGCATCTATGTAGATGATGCCACAGTTTATGGATGCATTTCCAAAAATCAAGTTGATCAGAACCATGCAGATGATCCCCCCTTTGACCTTGCTTGTAACTTTCAGTATCATTTCATTATCAGTGATCAGAATGAATCATCTCCAGTCACAATGAACAATTTCACTCTGAATGAGGATCCATACTTTGAATGTTTCAAAATTTAAATAGAATTCAAAAATATGAAAAAGATAAAAGGTCTTGGAAAAATGATTGGTTCAGTCTATCACTCCAAAATGTACCAAACTCCTTCTGCTATGCTTCTTTACAAGAATCAGATTAGACCAAAAATAGAGTATTGCTGCCATATCTGGGCTGCAGCTGCTTTCCAACACTGAGTGTTCAAAACTGTTTATGCAGTCTTGCTGAAGAAGACCTATTCAATGTAGCCTCTTTTCCACAGACAGTTTTGCAAGCATTACAAATTTAAAAACATTATGAATTTAAGTGCAAATGAGGCCTAGATTCTAGCTAAGTTTCATCATTTTGCAATTGAAAGTGCTAGATGTAACTGTAAGTTCTATGCTAACAGTTTCTTCTCTCGTACTTCATACTTATGGAACTTTCTTCTAGCTCCTATCAATTTTGATCTTCAAAAGTTTAAATGCAATGTCAATCGTCATTTATCTGTTTAATTACTATTCTGTTATTATCCTATCTTCTTAATAATTTCTGATTTTTTCTCACATTCTTTCACACTCAGTAACCCTTGCATCTTATTGGCTTTATTGTCTTGCTTGGGGTGAAATGATTAAAAAAAAAAGAAAGAATATCACTGTTCTATTGCTATGTCTATATCTTTTAGATGAGCTCCCTATTTTAGTGCCATGAGTTCAGACACAAAAAAGAAATACAACTAAATCACTAACTAAAAAAAACACCTACTCCACCCCTCAACCTTTCTTTCTCTAATATTTGTGGTATCTGTTCCAACTTCTGCAGTGTAGAATCTTTTCCCTTGGAATGGTCGCCAGATATCTTTGCCCTTTGTGAAAACAATTTAAATTTTTCCATTGCTACCAATGAATTCTTGGTTCCAAACTATCTTAACTATCTATGTTTTAAAATCAAATAAAAATAAAATACTGAAAAATTAAAATTTTATAAGTTTATTCTATTTTTTAATTCAAATCACAAAAACTTTGTGTGTGTGTGTGTGTATATATATATATATATATATATATATATATATATATATATATATATATATCTCCTTTAAAAAAAATACTGCAAATTTACTATAAAATGTATATAAACATTTTAAAATTCTTCATATAAAAATATATTTTGATAGAAAGACATTAAAAAGAAATTCTCACTCCCCCTGAACCAAAGGTTTCCATAAATTGAATTCAGAATTATGAATCTTTAAAAAAAATACAGTATTAAATGTCAAGATTGGACAAATTTTCAAACAACATTTTCGTCAGTTTTTTTTATTTCTAAAATTCAACTTAAAAAATGAATAGCAATCTTTGATATCCAAAATCAAAAACCATCTTTGCATTTGTCTTTATCTGCATATTTGGCATGTGCAAAAGTCTGTTGCATTAATTTATCTAGAGACTGAATGCATTGTAAAGCATTGTTTTGCACACACCTAATGTATATGTTGTTGATTATTGATAATGATTCATTTCAGAACTTCACAAAGAAATATTGTCTGCTGTCATCAATCAATATTTTCAAGAAGGAATCACATTAGGACAACAATATAGGAATTTAATTGCATTGAAAACCTATCCTACAACAAAATTTATTTAAACACTGATTTCTGTTCTGCATACACAATTTTTAATGTTAATTTTTGACTTGCAATTCTTTCATCTTAATTTCAGTTGCTGTTTATATTGCAAGTCTATTATTAGTTAGCAATGTGAACCACAAATAAAGAATAAACATTCAGTAAGACTTGAAACTGTATCCTTCATCCTCAGGAGCTTGCTTTTACATCACAGCTGCTTTACTGATTAGGCTACAAAAGCCAATTCAAATCTTGCTGTGCAGCCTTTCTTCTTTATTTTTTCTGAATGCTTGGTACACTAAAAACTTTTGTTTACATAAATTGGTAATATTAACTGTAATATTAGAATTTTTTA